ATGTACAGACTAGAAGAATGTGTTTTTTTCTCTTTTAATTTAAAATGTGGAGGTACAATTCAGGGTTAGATATAAAAATATTCACTGTGCAGGTACCCCTGTTAATGAGATGTGCCCCCCTTCCCTGGGCAGATATCAACTACTGTCAATCCCACCTCCCTGTCCCCCTTCCCCCCCAATGGTTTCCTGCTACTGTCAATCCTTTTCTTATAGTATTATGGTAGTTGTTCAAGGTCCACTTATGAGTGAGAAGGTGTGATACTCAGCTCTTTGTTTCTGTGAGAGATCACTCAGTATTATAAGCGCTGATTCCATCTGGGTTGCTGCAAAGTTCATTATTTTGTTCTTTTTTATGGCTGCATAATATTCCATTGTATGTACTACACTTTTTTTAACGAGTCCTCTTTTGATGGGAAGCACGGTTGGTACCACATTCTTGCTGTGAACAATGCTGTGATAAACATATGTGTGCAGATATCTTTTTTATAGAGTGGTTTGAGTTCTTCCAGGTATATACCCAGTAGGGGATTGTGGGATCATATGGAAGGTCAATTTTTAGAACTTTTAGGAATTGTCACACTGATTTCCACAGAGGCTGTACTAGTTTACACTCCCACCAACAGTGTAGAAGTGTTCAAATATTCATTGTGCGGGTACCTTTATTGATGAGGTGTGTCCTCCCTTTCCCAGGCAGATATCAACTATTGTTAATCCCAGCTCCCCACCCCTCCACTCCCCCACCCCTCAGTTTCCCGCTACTTTCAATCCTTTTTTTATAGTAATACGGTAGTTGTTCAAGGTTCACTTATGAATGAGAACATGTGGTACTCAGCTCTTTGTTTCTGTGAAAGATCACTCAGTATTTTAAACTCTAATTCCATCCAGGCTGCTGCGAAGTTCATTATTTTGTTCTTTATGGCTGCATAATATTCCATTGTGTATATGTACCACATTTTTTTATCCAATCCTCTTTTGATGGGAAGCATGATTGGTTCCATGTTCTTGCTTTGTGAACAATGCTGTGATAAACATATGTGTGCAGATATCTTTTTTATAGAGTGACCTGAGTTCTTCTGGGTATATTCCCAGTAGGGGGATTGCAGGGCCATATGCAAGTTCATTTTTAGAACTTTTAGGAATTGCCACATTGATTTCCACAGAGGCTGTACTAGTTTACACTCCCACCAACAGTGTAGAAATGTTCCCTTTTGGCCACATCTTCTCCAGCATCTGTTATTTTTGAGTTATTGTTGAGGGCCATTCTGAGTGGAGTTAGGTGGTAGCTCAGTGTAGTTTTAGTTTGCATCTCCTTGATGACTAGTGAGGCTGAACATTTTTCCATGTATCTGTTGGCTGCTCTTATGTCTTCTTTTGAGAATGTCTATTCATATCTTTGTAATGGGGTTGTTTGCTTTTTTCTTTTTAACATGTTTGAGTTCCTTGTAAGTCCTTGATGTTAGGCCTTTGTTAGACATGGAGTTGGCAAATATTTTTTCTCAGTCTGAAGGCTGTCTTCCTGCTCTCTTGATGGTTCCTTTGGCTTTGCAGAAGCTTGTCAGTTTAATGAGGTCCCACTTGTCTATCTTAACTCTTATGGCCTGGTCACTTTGGGTTTTGATCAGGAATTGGTTGCCAGTTCCAACTTTCATAAGAGTGTCGCCTGCGTTTTCTAAGGTTCTTACAGTTTGAGGTTTTGCATTTAGGTCTGTGATCCATTTAGAATTAATTTTTGTGAATGGGGATAGGTAGGGGTCCTTTTTCAACCTTCTGCCTGTGGTCAGCCAGTTTTCCCAGCACCATTTACTGAATAGGTTCTCCTCTCCCCCGTAGTGGGTGTTGGAGGCTTTGTTGAAGATGAGTTGGTTGAGAAATTGAGGTTTTGTTTCTGGAATCTCAATTCTGTTCCATTGGCCTATATACCTGTTCTTGTACCAATACTAGGCTGTTTTGATTATTGTGGCTTTATAATAAAGTTTAAAGTCTGGGAGTATGATACCTCTTGCTTTTTTTTTTTTTTTTTTGCTGAGGATTGTTTGGGCAATCTGTGGTCGTTTATGTTTCCATATGAATTCCTGTATTGTTTTTTCTAGGTCTGAGAAGAATGTGGCTGGTAATTTGATGAATATTGTGTTAAATTGTAGATTGCCTTAGATAAAATGGACATCTTAACAATGTTGATTCTTCCAGTCCATGAGCATGGAATATTTTTCCACTTATTTGTGTCATCTTTGATTTCTTTGAGCAGTGTTTTGCAGTTTTCGTTGTAAAGGTCTTTCACATATCTGGTTAGGAAGATGCCAAGGTGTTTTATTTTTTTGTGGTTATTGTGTATGGAATTGTACTTTTATTTGAGTTTCTGTTTGTTTATTATTGTGTATAGAAATGTGATTGTCTTTTGCACATTTATTTTATACCCTGAGACTTTGTCAAACTCCTTTATCAGTGCAAGGAAGTTTTTGGCAGATTCTCTTGGGTTTTCAAGGTATACAATCATGTCATCTGCAAAGGAATAGAAGAATGTTTATTCTGTGATTGTTGGCTGAAGTATTCTAGAGATGTCTATTGCATCCAATTGGTCAAGTGTTGAATTTAAGTTCTGAATTTGTTAGTTTTCCACCTTGACAGTCAGTCTAAATCTGTTAGTGTGGTGTTGAAGTCCTCACCACTAATGGGGTACTAAGGCTTCTCTTAGGTCTAGTGGTAATTGTTGTATATATCTGGATGTTCCAATGTTGGGTGCATATATATTTAGGATGGTTAAGCCTTCTTGTTGAATTGACTCTTTATCATTATGTAACGCCCTTCCCTGTCCTTTTCTGTTATCACTGGCTTGAAAATGTTTTATCTGATATAAGAATGATGACCCCTACTCCTTTTCCATTTTCCATATCATGGTAGATCTTTCTCTCTCTCTCTTTACTTTGAGCCTGTGTGTTGTTAGAAGTGAGATGGGTCTCCTGAAGAAAGCAGAAGGGTGGGTCTTGCAATTTTATCCATTTTTCCACTCTGTGTCTCTTAAGCGGGGTATTTGGGCTATTGATTTTAAAGTAACTGTTGATATGTCTGGGTTTTTTCCTGTCACAGGGTTGTTAGCTATTTGCTTTGTAATTTCAGTTTGTGGTCGTTTTTAGGATCCATGGGCTATAAGTTATGTGTGCTTGTATGTTAGGAGGTATTGTTCCTTCATTTCCATGTTTAGAACACCCTGAAGCATCTCTTCTAGGGCTGGTCTTGTGGCAAAGAATTATTTTAGTGACTAATATCTGGGAGAGACTTTATTTCTCCTCTGTTTATGAAGCTTACTTTGATGGGGTTGGAACTTCTTGGTTGGAATTTCTTTTCTTTAAGAATGCTAAAAACAGGCTTTCATTCTCCTCCACTGGTTTTTCAGGTTTCTGCTAAGAAGTCCACAATAGTCCAATGGGTCTCCCCAGTGGGTGACATGGCTCTTCTCTCTAACTGCCTTTAAGAATTTGAATAGTGTGATGACTATGTGCCCTGGGGATGGTTGCCTCATATAATATAGGAGTTCTCCCAATTTCTTGTATCTCTATGATGATCTCTCTAACAAGATGGCAGAAGTTTTATTTGATTATGCCCTCAAGTACTTTTTCTGGGTTCTTTCCAGTCTGTTCTCTCTCAAGCATGCCAGTCAGTTGTAGTTTTGTTCTCATAACAAAATCCCATATTTCTTGAAGGCTGTGTTCATTTTAAAAAATTTATTTTAAATTTATTTTTGTCTGACTGAGTTCATTTGAAGGATTGGTTTTCAAGGTCTGAAGTTCTGCTTGGTCTAGTCTTCTCTTAAGGCTTGCAACTATATTTTGAAATCCCTGAAGTGAGTTCTTCAATTCCAGAAGTTCGGTTTGGTGCTTTCTTAGTGTGGCCCTGTGCCCTTTGAGTTCTTGGATTATTTTCCTGCCTTCTTTGTTTTGGATTTCCGCTTTAATTTGGATCTCATTGGGTCTTTTCTGTCTATATTGAAATACTCTGGCTTTTGGCATTTCTGGAATTCTTACACGGGATCCTTCAAATCAGAAGAGTGGACACTTTCTTCTATTTACTTGATTTGATATCACTGGGATTAGGCTTCCTGAGATTTTTTTTCTTTTCCCTTTGGGTATGGCTGTGGTGTGTGTTTGTGTATGGTGATCAGCGTTTGTCTAGGCCCTCCACCCCACTTCTTTGTCTCCCTGATCCCCAGGCCGCAGGGTCGGAGGCAGGGGTGGTGGCATCTGGGAGGGGCCTGACAGCAAACGCTGGGCTTTGAGCCCTCAGAAGAGCTCTGTGACGCAGTTTTCAGGGAGCGGCGGGGGCGGGGGGCGCCGGCATGTTGTCTGCTCGTTTCTTCTTCCCTGGCTGAGGTGTCCGTCCGGGGGCTGCACGAAAGCGCCAGCCGGGCTTCCCGCGGGGCGGCTGCGGCCGGGGCTGGACTGCTCAGAGCAGGAGTCCGCGGGGTTCCACGTGGCCCGAGCAGTGCCCTGTCCAGACACTAGGGGGGGCCCTGCATCTGCTGGAGACCGGGGCGGGGGCAGGAGGAGGGATTTCCCAGACTCCAGTTGCAAAGTCCTGGCAGAGGCCTGGAAGCCCAGGGCTTCTCTTCCCCCAAACTCCTTCCCCGCGTTAGGATCCTCTTGCATCTCCAGCCGGAGCCGGCTCTGCGGGCTGCCGGCCTCTCTCCCCTCCACGCTCCGAGGCTCCCGGGGCTTCTCTGGTGTATTCAGCTGCTTCCCAGACGGTCCACCCGTGAACAATTCTCCCTCGCTGTTTCAGTCCCTCCCGTGATAGAGGAGCCCATCAGATGCCTCTTCTCAGGCATTTCCAAGCGGATCAGTACGGCTGGAGCAACGTATTAAATAAGGAAAGCAGGCATGAAGGAGATTTCAACAAAATGCACGTGGGATGAATGGAGGAAGGACCTCAGGGAAGACCTTCCTTGCCTCTAACTTATCCTGTCTCCATTTTTCTGCTCTGTTGCCCTTCTCTTTCTCTCCACTCAGGGCCCCCAGACTGGATCCCAGGTAGACGACAGCACCCCAGACCAGCCTCCTCCAGTGGAGGCCATCCCTTCCTCCAGGAAGGACCGAGAGCTTTAGTATGCATCCGTCACCATTGATATGAAGCCTCGGATCCCTCAGGGCCAGGAGGCCCTCAGCATCGAGTACTCAGAGATTAGGATCCACAAGTGAGAGGCTGTCGGCCTCGACCCTGGGTGAGGCATCACGGCCCCTCCAGGCAGAAAAGCAGGCAGAGGCCTATTGCTGTGGAATTTACAGCCCTCCCAGGGACACACTACACATGCAGTGAAAGAAACGCAGGCTTTGGAACCACAGGGTTTCAAATCTGAATCCACAGTCTGCCTCTTTGTTTAGTAAGTGACAGACAAATTCCTACCTCTCTGTACTTCAGTTTCCTGCTCTGTAAAACAGGAATGAGAGGCCCTACCTGCAAGGTCATGGTGAGCATTACAGGAGTGAAATCCAACGAGAGTTCCTGGTACAGGGTATAGGCTGAACACATGTTGGGTCCCCGTGCTTGGACAGGAAGACCCTGCTGGAATGTCTCCTGACTCTGGAGGTGACCGGGAACTACATGCCTGTATCACTTGCCTGCAAATAGCTGTTCCACATCTTTCCAGAAAGTGACCTCAGCCTGAGAGTCGGTGCATTCAGCACCTGCCCACCTCTTCAGCCTCCTCTCTCTTTTCCTTTGACCTCTGGGCCTCCTGAATCTCCAGTGTGTGCACCTTGTAGAGGCTAAGGAGATGGCATCATTTAGACACAGACAGCTCCCTGTTCTGTCACAGCCCCTCCATGAATCCCAGGCCCTGACCGTCCATCACAGCCTCCTCATGATGTCACTCTGCCCGTTCCCTCCATCCTCACTGCTTGACTCCCTGATCCCTCTAGCCTTTCTAAACAATTTCAACCTGCCCTGCTGATCATACCTGGGTCCTTGCACACTGATGGCCCTCCTCCTAGAATATCCTTTCCTGGGCCCACACCTGCCTCTGTTTTGAGAGCTGAGTTCAAAGACTGGACTTGTGGGCTAGGATGAGAGAGTGAGCAGCAGCTCGTGATGTCCCTCCTCGAAAGCCAAACCAGATGAGTGAGGAAAGTTTCCAAATGGTCATGGGGTCATCTGACAAGTGAAACACCGTGATCCAAAAATTTACCTGTAAACAGCACCCGAATGAGGAAAGGAGCCCCTCACAGCAATCACCCAATAAAGGAACTCTGGTGAGAACAAATTAAAGGACTGGATGAGGCACTAATGGTCCCTAAGTCTAGATTCTGGCTCATTTCTTGCAGCATCAGAAAACAAAGTACCAAGGAACTTTTTTTAAACTGAGGCAGGATCTTTCTCTGTTTCCTATGCAGAGTGCAGTGTTGTGATCATAGCTCACTACAGCCTTAAACTCCTGGGCCCAAGCGATCCTCCTGTCTCAGCCCTCCAAGTAGCTGAGACAAGTGTTGCACCACCACTCCTGGCTTAAGGGATAATTTTTAAAAATGGTATGGTTTGTATATATGTTTGACCTCCTCAAGTCTCATGTTGAAACTTGATCCCGAGTAGTGTAGGTGGGACTCATGGGAAGTGTTGTGACTGGCTTGGGGTCCCTCTCATGGTAATGAGCAAGTTCTCACTCCATTAGTTGTCATGAGAGTTCCTCGAGAGCTGGTTATAAAAACAGCCTGGCCCCTTCCTTCCCTCTCTCCTGCTTCCTCTTTTGCTATGTGATCTGCACACAGAAGCTCCCCTTTGCCTTCTGGCATGAGTGGAAGCTTCCTGAGGTCAGCATCAGGGCAGGTGCTGAAGTCCTCCTTCTTGTACAGTCTGCAGAACCATGAACAAGCAATCCTCTTTTCTTTATAAATTATCCAGCCTCTGGTATTCGTTTATAGCAACACAAATGAACTAACATAGAATACTTCTGCACTGAAAAATACAGTGAGTTATGAAAGATGTAAATGATCTTTAAAATACCATATTCATAATTAGGAGACTAATATTTAAGATTTCAGTTCTCTCTGTATTGATTTAAATATCCACAGTCAAAATTCCAACACATATGTTATATATATTATTTGCATATGTAAGTATATATTCATGTCTTTTTATGCACATATATAAGTTATATATGCACATATATATTTACAAATTGAGAATTTGATTCTAGAATCTATATGGAAATATTAAAAGGCCTAGAATAGGCAAATAGCCTTGGAAAAGAACACAGGTGGGGAAACAAGACTTGACTTTAAAGGAACAAGCTAGACATGCAGTGAAAGGAACGCAGGGTTTGGAACCACAGTGTTTCAAATCTGAATCCACACTCTGCCCCTTGGTTTAGTAAGTGACAGACAGATTCCCACCTCCTTGTACCTCAGTTTCCTGCTCTGTAAAACCGGAATGAGAGGTCCTCCCTGCAAGATTGTGATGAGCATTACAGGAGTGAAATCCCACGAGAGCTCCAGTAGTTCAGACACAGTGGTGTGGAGTAGAACAGTCTATAAATGGACCCACACATACATGGCCAAGTCAATAACATCAAATCTATTCCATTGAACAGGAAGGACTCTTCAATAAGTGGTGGTAGAACTAGTGAAAAATTATTTGGAAAAAAAATGAACCTTGATTCCTGTCACAATTACACACACAAAATTAGACTGAGGTGAATCTTAAGCCTAAAAGTAAAATTGAAAACTATGAAACTTCTATAACTGTCCGATATGGCAGCTGCTAACCACGTGTGTCTGTTGAAATGTCCTACACTTAGTGAGCAAAAAACCCCATAGATTTATTATTAATTGATATTTAATGCTGATTACATGTTGACATGATATTTTGGATATATGAGGTTAAATAAAATATTATTAAGCATAGTTTCACCTATTCCTTTTAAAATTGTAGCTTCTAAAATTTAAAATGTCATACATGGCTTGCATTATATTCCTACTGAACAGTCTGATCTAGAAGAAATCTGAGACAATATCTGTGAGTGTGCAATAATTTTTTAGGGCATATTCAAAATACTAAGAATGAAAGGATAATATAATGAGATCATCAAAACTGTAAAATGCCTGTTCATCAAAAGACATGGTTAAGAAAATGAAATGCCAATCCACATCTGGAAAAAAATTATCTCTATATAACATATGATATATGCCTGAAAAGGGGCTGGAACTTGGATTATAGGAAGAGTTCCTATCAGCTAATAACAAAATTACAACCTGATATTTAAAATGGACAAAAAGACTCGATCATATATTCTACAAAGGAAGAGATCAAGATGGCTCATAGTTACATGAAAAGGTGCCCAAAGCTACTGACATCAGGGGATGAAAATTAAAATCACACTGAGATCCCCAAACACGTCTTCTAGAATGGCCCTAGGACAGCAAATGTTGGAAAGGATGTGGAAGAACTTGAACACTCATATATTTCTGGTGGGAATGTAAATAGTATAACCATTCTAGAAAGCAATGTGGCAGTTTTGTATACAGTTAGACATAATACAACTACCCTATGGCTCAGCAATTCCACTTCTAGGTACTCACACAAGTAGAGAGAAAGCAAATGTCCACCCAAAACTTGGACATGGATGTTTACAGCAGCGTTATTCATGACACCAAAAGGTAGAAGCAACCCAAACATCCACCAACAGGGGGATGGATAACCAAAGTGTGGCATGTCCATGCAATGGCATGATACTCATCAATATAAAATAATTAGCTGTTGATACATGTAACAACATGACTGAATTTTGAAAATATGTTGAATGAATGAAGCCAGGTGCAAAAGAATACATACTTCATAATTCCACTCATATGAAGTTCGAGGACAGACCAAGCTAATCTGTGGTGACAGAAATTCACAACAGTGGCTGCCTAAGTTTGGGGGTAGGGTTTGGGATTAACTTGAATGGTGCACCAAGAAACTTTCTGTAGTCCCAGAAACATTCTATGTCTTGATTAAAATGTAGATGAATGCATTTATTAAAACATGTAAGATCTATGTGTTTCACTGTATATAAATATACCCAGACAAAAACTGCACTGCATGTGTTTAATTTATATTAAATTCTAGAATATGCAAACCACTGTACTGTGACAAAAAGCAGAAAAGCAGTGCCTGGGAGTCTTTGTCAACTGGCTGCTGCTATAACAGGTCACTCGAGACTTTATAATTTATAAAGAACAGTCAATGATTTCTCACCATTCTGGGGACTGGCAAGTCCAAGATCAAGGCACTGGCATCTGGTGTCTGATGAGGACTTTCTTGCTGCACCTTCACAGACAGAAGTGCAAGGTGCAAGGTGTCAAATCTGTGGGAAGCCTCTTTTATAAGGGCCTTAATCCCTCTAACAAGAAAGCAGCTCTTCTGGCCAAATCACCACTTAAAGGTACTATCTCTTAATATGATCACATTGACAATGCTTGGATTTTGGAGGGATATAGATAGTCAAATCATAGCACTGGGGATGGGAAGACAGGTGTGATCTAGAAATACCTTTGCACACACACCCATAAATTATGTTACATCTGGGCAACCCATGGTCCAGTCAAGTTGACACATAAAATGTATCATCACACTGGCCTAGTAGGCCCAAGTTCACTGCATACACACAGATAAGCACAGAGAGGCAGATACATATAGATAGACCCACACAGACAGATATACACATTGACTCATCCTCCCACCACACACACCATGCTTGGGGCATTATGAGTACTGAGATGGGCCATGTCCTGCCCTTTGCCCTGGGAAGGGGACGTTCTCATGAGTAGGTTAACAGCCCTATTATCAGGTCAAAGCAGTTCTGGAACAATGTTTTATTGAGAGAAATATGAGGGATGCAGTTTTCAGGATGCAGGTGCACTTCTCTCTTGGCCACCTGTGTCCACCAGGGTTACAATCCTTGCGTGAGGGCTCAATGAATCAGCTCCTGGAAACCCAGCCAGGGATTGTCCTCAACACCCTCCTTGCTGCCCAGCAGTTGAGAAGTTATGTCTCTCCAGTGAGGTGGGCCGACCACCAGCAATAATGTGCGAGAGCTGCAGGAGCCCCTGGCCCTGCCCTGACCTCAGAGCCT